TTCTAAGATACGGGAGAGGAAAACAAGAGATTTTAATCAAGTAAAGTGGCATCAAGAGTGAGGGTTCTAAGGTATTGGTAAAGACGATGAGATTAAGGAAAGATGGAAAGAATTATTTTGAGAAACTGTTAAATGAGGAACATGGAAGTACGACAATAAGGGGAGAAATAATCAGTAATACGATAAACCAAGACTATAGGTTCTATCGCAGGATTAGGAATTTTGAAATGGAGATTGCACTTTAGAAGATGAAATCAAATAAGGCTTAGGAACCTGATGATATCCTATTGAAGCTTGGAAGTGTTTGGGTAAAAAGGGAGTTGGCTTGGTTGACTAGGTTGTTTAGCAAAATTTTGTTGACTAGGAAATCATGCCAGATGAAGTGGAGGAAGAGTAATTTTAGTGCCAATCTATAAGAATAAAGGTGAATGTCCAGAATTGTAACAACTATAGAGGATTAAGCTAATGTGTCAATATAATGAAAGTGTGGGAGAGGGTGATGGAACGTTCGATTGCGAGGACATAACAGAGGTATCAGAGAATCAATTTGGGTTTATGCCTGGTAGGGTCCAACAATGGAAGCGATTTATCTTTTGAGGAGATGTAATAGAAAAGTATAAAGAAGAAGAAAGAGAACATTCATATGGTGTTTATCGACCTTGAGAACAGCATTGACAGAGTGCCCGAGATTATAATATGGGTGGGCGTTAGAGAAAGAAGGGGTGACAAAAGGCTACATTGACGTGATTAGGGGCATGTATGAAGGGGTGGTGACCACTATTTAGTCCCAGCTAGAAGAAACAAATGAATTTTTTTATCACTGTAGGGTTTACACCAAGGATCTACTTTAAGTCCTTATCTTTGCTTTTTAGTTTATAGATGAGTGACGATAAATATCTTCAGGATGACGTGCCATGGTGTATGCTTTTTGCTGACGATATTGTGTTAGTGGATGAGACTAGAGAAGGAGTTAACCAAAAGTTGGAGATCTGGAGAAAAGCTCTTGAATCTAAAGGATTTCGGATAAGCAGAACTAAGACAGAGTACATGGAGTGTAAATTTAGTAACAGTAACAATGAAAGCAGAGGAGAAGTGAAGATTGAGAACCAAGAACTGCCTAAGAGCTGAACATTTTCGTTATTTAGGGTCGATTAATCACAACAGCAGGAGAGATTGATGCAGATGTGGCCCATAGGATTAAGGCGGGATGGTGTAAGTGGAGAAGTGCGTCTGGGGTATTGTGCGATAAACGATACTCACTAGACTAAAAGGTAAGTTTTATAGAACGACTATTAGACCAGCTATGTTGTATGGGACGGAGTGTTGGGCAACTAAGAAACAACATGTAGATAAAAGAGTGTGGCTGAGAGAGGATGCTAAGGTGGATGTGTGGTAAGACTAGACAGGACAGGATTAGGAATGAGTGTATTTGGGAATGGGTAGGAGTAGCACGCGATAGAAGATAAGTTGAGAGAGAATCGTTTGAGATGGTTGGTCATATTCACGAGAGACCAACAGAGGCAGTAGTGAAAGAGATGCGATACTGTAATGGTAGATGGAAGTGTTAGGGGCGGGGTAGGCCTAGATTAACGTTGACTAAGCGTTAAATAAAATAGAGATATGAATCTACTTAATTTGACTAATGAAATGGCCTTTGATAGGGCCGCGTGGAGAAGAAGGATTCATGTAGCCGACCCCATTTGATGGGACTTAAGGCTTCGTTTGGTTTGGTTTGGTTTGGATATATTTAAATGGGGTTAATTTATTTTTGTTATTTATAGAAAATTGGGATTAATTATACCAACATTGTTTTAATTATTAATAAATATCACATTATCTTCCTCAGATATAAATTAGTTTATTTTGATTCTTTAACTATGAATGTATCAAATCTTTAAAAAAAATTATGAAAGTGTATCATTTTTTCCTCCTTTTGAATTTCTTTAAAAGTGGTGTATTCTTACTGTATTCAAAGTTGAAGAGATGAATCGGACTTTGATCCTCTCCATTCTATATATGTAAAGAATGATTTTTATTATATATCTAATGGTTATAAAAATATGAATGTAAATTTTTAAAAAAGAATACTACTCTCACATTTGGGTGATAAAATAGAACTTCTCCATTACAAATATGAAATGGAGAGAATCACAATCCAAATCAATAAATTCATAAATGAGGAAGTAAAGTGATATTCACTTCTTATTTAGAAGATCTTGATGTAACTAACCTATTTAATTATTAGGTAAACTACATTGACCACATTTGAAATTTAGAAAAAATAATAATAAACTCTAGAAATTTTAATAAGATGACGTTGATATCACTTTTAATAAGGTTAAAATGGGTAAAACCAACCCAAACAATTGTAGACATAGGAATGAACATGCATAATATATATATATATATATATAGTGTAAAATAAATGAAAATATAATTTTTTTTTATTGTTACGATTAATTAAGTATTATTAAAAAAATGATTATATATCATGAGAATTGAAACAAGGGAACCAATTGACAAATTTATGAAACTCCATATATTTTGTCCAAATTTTAAGAGGAGTTGGTGTAATTTATTGTAAATTGTTTTATTTCACTTTATGGGTGTTACATACAAGTCTAAGATGCATCATAACACATATGACAGGGAAAAAGGTAATTATTTGATTTCACTTTATCTTTGTCATTAGATCCAATTAATTAGTGAAATTTGAAGGTTTCTATTACAAATAATTACAATGGAGAAATGATAAAATTAGTAGTTAATTATTGAATGAGTCATGATAGTTTTAAAAATCATCATTAAAAAGAATAAAATGAAATAATTTTAATTTTAATAAAATTTTTACTAATTTCAATATATGTTTCACACAAATCTATAAACCTTTTATACATATATCAAAGTTTTAGTATTTTTCTGAGTTACATATTTGTTTGACCAGACAAAGCAAAATGCATACTGACAAGACAAAACGAGCAGCTCAAAAAAACAAAAACCAGAAAAGAAAAAGAAAAAGAAAAAAACAATTGGGACAGTTTTTCTAAATTTTTCTAGAAGTTGAAGATTTTCTCCAGAGGAGACAAATATTTCGCTATCGCGTTTGAAAGACTGTCCAGTTCTCCGTTGACGAGTCCAAGTGCATCTCTACTAATCATATCACAAAAAATGACGACAAAATTACAATTTAGCAATCACCTTCAAATTTTAACACGTCTCAATTATTTGAATTTGTGTATACTAATTATTCGATCGGATATTAATAATCTAGACGGATATCGATTAACAAAAGTGATAGTCACAATTAACAAGAATAATGTCAACGGTTTAACAAATCATCCCATTTACGTAATTTAAACAATCCAACCGAAATCAAATTTAATAGGTCAATCATTTTTCATTTGACCATTTATAATATTAATATTAAATTATAACAGTATTTCTCCATTTAAAAGCAAATATTATCTTCACACAATTACATCAATTTGTAACCATTGGATGAGTATCTTCAACCACATCAATTAGTAGCCATTGCATCAACACGACACCACTCATCATTTTTGGGGTGTTTGTTTGGATTTTTTTTAGTCAACTTATAGTTTATAGCTTTGAAAAAGTTATTTTAAACTGTTTGGTTAAACTTATTTTAAACAGCTTCTGATTCTAATAACTTATTTTAACTCAAAAAAGTTAATTCTGAGAAGCTGCTCATCCCATACTTTTGATTATCATTATCAGCTTCTGCGGTGGATATGTTAATTTACGGTTATATTCTTAGATTTTTTTATTTTTTATTTTTTTAAAAATAAAAAAAAACCCAAATGGACTATAGATGATTATTATTATTTTTTAATGAGAAACGTACACAAGTAGTGAATAACAAAAAAGAAAATTTAATTGAAAAAACTACTTCACAGCTTATTTAACAAACACTATTTAACAACTTAAATCTATAATTTAACAGCTACACCAAACAGATTAACAGTTTCTGATTAAAGTCATAATCTATTAAGATATAATTTATAATCTGTTTGAACAGCTAGACCAAACTGGGCCTTTTACCCCCTATCTTAACTAGAGCTCTCACTCCTCCAATGACAGTTGTCTCCGTCTGAATCTTAAACTTTTGGAGAGAAAAAAAAAATTATATTGTTAGCCCCTTTAATTGAAGTAATATTTCATTTTAATCTTTATAATTTTAATTTTTTTTCATCTAAACCCTATACTTTCAATTGTGCTCTTCGTTCTGTTTATTGACGCTAGTATTTTAAACAGAAAAATGTCACATGCAACTGAGGAGATGAAAATAAAATTTTAATCAAATTAAAGAGACTATTGGTATAATTTATCCCAAAAAAAAAACCACTACATAAATTTAAAATTCAAACATAATTTTTTTTTCTTATTAATAAGATTCAAACGTAATTTACTAGTCACAACCTGGACAATAGTTTACATGGTGGCGCCTAAAAGAAAATAATAAGATAAACTATCAATAAATCATAACAATTATACTTAATTTTCATCAAGTTCTATTGAAGATAAATTTTGATAAAATCGACACTAAAAATAATTTTTTACAACTTTTTTGCATATTTCACTAAAAATTAATAATTAGTGACTTTTTTTGTCACAATTTTTATAAATTATCGCTAAAATTTACAATCAGTGATGTTTTCCTGTGATAAATTTTTCAAATTATCGTTGAAAGTTAAAAATTAATAACTTTTTTGTGACAATTTTTTTTAAACTGTTATTAAAACTTATAATTAGTAACATTTTTTGTGACAATTTTCAAATTGTCGCTAAAAATTAATAATTAATAATATTTTTTAATAGTGTTTGATAAAAATATCATTAGTTATCATAAGACCTATTAAATAATAAGTCAATTTATTTGAACCTACACGTAACTTCTCCAATAATAATAATTGTCATAACCTCATGTTGATTATGCTATGCAAGAATTAGACAAAACAAGAAGAAAAAACAAAAAAACATTTTCGTGGCACAAATAACAAGTAACCATCTATCATTTGCTTAAAAATAAACATAACTGGTGATATTTTACACCTATTACGGATAATTATTTCAATGAATCAAAGTTGGCATTGAAACAAAGAAATACCGTAATGCAGAACACAATTGTCTATACATGAAAACTACAAATTTGGGCAGGGATTTTGGGGAGAGTGCAGTGTATGCTGTCATCCGATCCAATCTACATCAAACCCAACTAAGTCTTGTCTTCTAGCTATCCAATCAATTACTTGTATACACTGCATTGTATTAGATACAGTAATTGTGAAGACTATAAAAAATAAAAAATAAAAAAGCACATCTTGACGTCAGCATCAAAGAAACCTGCATTGAAAGCCTAATTTTGAATGCGATTTTGAAAATGATTCTAAAAAACAATTCGAAGAATCATATACGAAATAACTAAAGCATTAGCAAATCAAGTAGTTGTACCTAGTTTGGGATGTGTTCCATTTTTTATACGGTATGGGAAATCTCTGAACTGTCTGGAGAATGAATCAGACAGTTAATTCAAGAGGCTGAAGAACCAACTCAGCTTCATCCGTTTGAGGTTTCCCTTTCCTTCTGAGGGAGAAAGGTTGGAGAATACATCGTGACAAGCGGCTCAATGGGTCCTGCAGACCTTCCATCTCATAGTGTCCAAACCGCCAATCTCGATCAATGTAAGGTCTCCGTATAGGTTCATCAAGGCCTCCTGTTGAAAGTAGGAAAATGTGAAACCCATAATGTATTTGATCAATGTTGGTGCAGTGTAGATCCTAATAAATACTCGACATTAGACCTAGTTTGGGGTGAATCATGTAAACCTCATGTTCTTTGTGTGTGTGCATGTGATTTATATTTCTTGTGTATTTGTTCATTTTTGGGTTTTATGTTTCATCCATCCTGGTTAGCTGTCTAACAGATTCCTAACAATCAATGAGTCAGTCACTGTTTTTGACTGTTGAAGAACAAATAAGCAATTAAAAAAATGTTGCCAGTAAGGCAGTATCATTTATAAGCAAGAATTCAGAACCCTTACTTAAAATGCAAGCATGTTTTATGTTCTGAGAAGTGCAAGGAGATTGACTGAGTTTGATACATGCACACGAGTCACTTGAGGCACCTTACTCGTAAGCATTGCAGTTTAGAGACTCAACCTATGAGTTAGGATTCTACAAAAATACCTAGTGGCCATTTTTACAATTTTCCATAGAGTAAGAATAAAAAAAGCAATGAAGCCAAGAAAGTGGCATTATAAAATGAAGCAGAAAGAAACTGAACTGCACATCTTACCCGCATACATTAAACCTTGTTTATTCACTGCTCGATAAAATGGCCTTGTTTTTCTCTGTTTAGCAGCTCTGTGTAGTTCATTCCATGCAAGTTCCCTGTCTTGATGTGTAACCTTACCTGTGGTTGCCACCTGAAATTTAAGGTTCCAGATGAACTATTAACAATATCAACACAATAAGGGCATGATAAGCGACACAAAGTCACATAGAAAATTATTACTTTGGAAAACAAATGGTATGAAGGACGAGGTATCCGTGCAAGATTATTGGCACGATCAACTGCTACAAGTCCAAACTTGGGACCATAGCCATCAGCCCACTCCCAGTTATCAGAAATAGTCCAAAACAGGTAACCAAGCACAGGAACACCCTGCAAAATAAATTTAAGAAGATTTAATACACAAACTTTTTAAATGGAAGACAGCACTATTCCAGAACAGTAGAGAAGCATAAGTTCAGAGTTAAACCATGATCATGGCTGCATAAATTGCAAGTAAATGTTCCAAAATGTATGGTCTTCTGATCAAATCTGTCTCATCTGAAACACCATTTTCAGTAACGATAAAAGGTACATTTAGATGTTTGTATCTATCATGGAACTGAAGTAGCATGCGGTACAAGCCATCTGGATATACAGCCCGTCCAGATTCACTGTATTCATCAGTCTCTACTAGCTTCAGTCCAGCACCAGACACCACTTCCTGACCAATGAATATATATTTTTTAATAATTAATTTATCTTAGTTACTATATTCACAAAAGCATGAAGAGGACAGTGATCATAGTTAGAGGAGCACAAAACCTGGCCATAATAATTTATTCCTATAAAATCCAGCTTGTGAGAAATATCATCCAGATATGGGAAGAGAGTCAAGGAGTTAGTCAGTGAGATGGCAGGAACATCAAACAGACCATATGGTCGAATAAATGAGACATGGTGTGCTACTCCAACGATTGAATTTGTGGAGGTGCTGCAGTTTAAAAATTGAAAAAAAAAAAACTCAGAAAAGTCCAGAAAAATATTAGAAGCAATTGAAAGATTGTGATTATTTTTTAAGAAACCAGAAGTGTCAGGTGGGGAGATAGATAGTCCATAAGCAACAATAAGGTTTAACTTATGTAAGTGCATAATGGTATAATGCAGAAGAGCCTGTTTATACCATTTTTGAAAGAAAAGAAAAAAAAAAACACTTGCATACTCGTAAAAGTTATGAAGACTCCCCCAAGTTAAATGTACCTTGTAAAGGATTAATAATTCAAATCATAACATTTTCTTGGGAAGGGTACATAAAGTACATATTAAGAGATAGGTGCTGGAGAAAACCTTTTCCCATGGATATAGTCATAGGCCTTTGAGTGTGCAATTGCTATCCAGTGCATGGCTTGATTGAAAACACCAGTAGGTAGTGCAGAAGTAGCAACCTCCAGCATATCAGGATTACCACCAGGCCAAGTACCAGCACAATAAGTAAGCATACAAAAGACATGAGGCTCATTAAATGTAACCCAGTAATCTACAATATCTGATACACTGTCAACAACAAGCCTGCAAAATAAAAAGCATAAGAGTGTCAATTAAAGTTTTAGGACAAATATGAGTTACCCACATAAGAGAACCATTACACATGTTAAGTGCATGAAGCAAAATGGCATTCACAAAGCAAACTATTAACTGCCCCAGCTCTCAGTCATCTTGTTATCTAATCTCTCTCTCTCTCTCTCTCTCTCTCTCTCTCTCTGCTCTTCAAAAAATGAGTCCTCCAAACTCTTAGGTGTCTACCAGTTACCATTATGTTACCAAAAGAAAAGAATGAAAATAATGGAACAACCAGACTGCACTTCAGTTGCATAAAATGAAGATGAATGGATGTGAAAACCATGGTTAAACTACAACATCAAACTCGTAGTACAAGATACAACTATTTAAATAATAATCTGAATGCCAATGCCAGATAACAACTATGGTGAATCTATCACTAAAAAGAAGCCTAACCTTGTAAAATCCACGAAATAATCAACAGTTTTCTCCAGTTTCCATCCTCCATACTCTCCAGCCCATGGTGGCAGTGAATGATGGAACAGTGTCAGCATCACCTTCATACCATATGAGCGAACCCTACTGATAATCCATTTATATCGTTCCAACGCAGCATAATTAACCTAAAACAGAACATCAAACAACTGAATTTGGTGCCATTTGTATCTTCACAACCAATTTTATTAATTCTTATGCAAATTTATAAATAGTGTATGTCAATTAAGATGATAATTTAACTCCAGTCCATTTGAGATGATAATTCAACTCCAGTCCATTTCTAATTGATCCAATTATCACCCAATGGAAGTATGACAAACTAAAAGCACACAAAGATGCACACGGACACACACACACACAATGTTCGGCATAAGATTTACAGTTTCTTTACTCCCATCGACTGGCTCCTCTGGCATGATCCTTGTCCAATCTATACCCATTCGGAAGACACGAACACCAGTGTCTTTAGCCAGTTTCAATTCCATATCAGGATCTGACCAAAACCTCAGCCTCTCCTCCCTGAAAGTAATTCACGACAATCCATTTCTTCCAATGTCAACAGTAAGCAATTTCAATATAGAAGTTTGTGATTCTAAATATAAGTTTTATTCAAATGATGTGATGGGTATAGATAGAAATTAGCAGCAGTATATGCCCATTCGGCATTCAGCTTGTAAATTTCAAACACCACATGAAAGAGCAGGGCTTACGGGTGCGGAACATTGTGCCAGGCAGCTACTTTATGATGGCATTCTTCAGGTGGTGCAGGCTCTTCCTCTTCTACATACTTATTGAAACCTCTGATCATTGCCTCCATAGCTATCTTAATAGACTTCTTTCTTTTTACCATCCTTTTAGCTTCTGTTAGGGGCAATGAAGCTTGCTGAGATCCACCATCACCAGCAGCAGAGCCCAGTACTGCATCAGCTGATTGCAGGTCATGCTCTGACTCTGCTTGGTCACAGGGGCTCTCTTCTGCAAACTGGAGCCAAGCATCATCAAGCCTGTCTTCAACGTGTGCAGGTGCAGTTGCCAATCCGAAGAAGAACTCTTTTTCACCTTCTACAGTGAATTACATAACAGTTGTATTATAATTTCTTGACAATCATGAAAAGTTCAAATGTTTTCAAACTCAGAAACATATATTCAAGGTTTTAAAAAGCGGCCGCAACCGTTACGTAACGCCGTTACGTAACGGTTTTGGCGGTTACCGCCACCCGTTACGGCCGCTTTTGCAGTGTGATTGAGATTCACAGGTGCGTCGGCTGTAGCGGCTGCTGTAGTGGTCGTAACGGTGCCGTAACAGCCGTAACGGCCTGTTACGCACCGTTACGTAACGGTTCCAAACTGTTTCTTTAAAAAAAACACAAAAAAAAGCTGAAAATGGGAGAAGAGAGATAGAGAGAAGAGGGAAGATAAAGAGAGAAAATAGAGGAGCAAGAGATAGAGAGAGAGAGAAGAGGGAAGATGAAGAACATATTATTGATTTGTTGAAACTATAAGATGTATGCTATTCTATTCAGCTGCTATCACTAAACCATTTTGTTTGTGTGTGTCTATCTATATATTGTTTGAAAATAATAATAATAATAATAATAATAAGTGTGGTTATTATCTATTTGATTAGGTTAAAATATGTATATATATATATATTTAGGCTCTTATTTATTCTTTTACTTTTGTCATTATTTATCTTATATATAATAGTTAGTGATTGATTTTTTGTAAAATATAAAGTCATTAATTATTAAAATAAAATGTAAAAAACTCAGTTTATAGTGATTTAAAAATATGAAATATATTGGATCATACTTAAAAACTAACAAAAATTGATCAAAATCTATTTTAAACCCAAAAAATGTGATTTTGAAAAGGAAAAAAAAATGTGTGTATCGGCGGTAAGTTTTTTTCAAATTGTGCAAAAAATAAAAAAATTCACGGTTCCGGTTACTGCAACCGTTACACTACGGCCTTTACACCCCGCAATCGCAACCGCGTCACCGCCACCGTTACGGCGGGTCATGCTCTGACTCTGCTTGGTCACAGGGGCTCTCTTCTGCAAACTGGAGCCAAGCATCATCAAGCCTGTCTTCAACGTGTGCAGGTGCAGTTGCCAATCCGAAGAAGAACTCTTTTTCACCTTCTACAGTGAATTACATAACAGTTGTATTATAATTTCTTGACAATCATGAAAAGTTCAAATGTTTTCAAACTCAGAAACATTTATTATATTCTCAAACCCTCACCCGGGGAAAAAAGGGGAAAAGAAAAAATCAATCTAAATTTCCACGGTATGTCGGAACAACTTTCCATGATTGTGTCTTTTTTCCATTAACATCCTCAGGAGAGATCAGAGTTCGCATCAGAAAAAGTAACAGTAAGGTTATCCAAAAAGAATGCAATATCAGTAAGATTGCTAAGCAAACTAAGTTACTTGTGAGAAGCTTTCCTAAAGTTGCTTGTTGAAGTCCAATAACATAAAGAACAAGTCGAGGCTCAAGTGTTAAGCTTGACTACTCAACAAGCCAAGCTTGGCAATTACAGGTGTGCAACTCAATTGGGCCGTCCAACAACTGAAGTTGGCATTCTGTGGCATCTACGCTTATGGTAGCATAATACCTTAAGGTCGTGTTGGTTTGGCAGTTTAGGCCATATGATTGAACTATGTATCCTGGTCAATCCCGAATCATTGTTTGGATACAAAAGTGGATCTCTGGACTGTATGTGCCCCTGATGAAGTATTGAATCCCATAGAGGTGTGATACAAATGGTGGGTTTGGATTAGGGGGTAAAATAACCAAAATATCCTCAAACTATGATCATTACACTGTGTAGTCCATGCCCTATCAAATATTCTAAACAATGAGCTAGGTTTTGTTGTATGCTACAATAGCAAGTTTATTGAATAAAAAATAAATCAAAAAAAAGCTACAATAGCAAGTTTATGATACTAGAGTGGGAGCCCAGGATTTTGACGCTAGCACACATAACTGAAGTTGGATTACATAAGTTAGGAGATCAATTAGGCACTTAAGCAAACTCAAGCATAGCCAAACATAAGTTAATCTAAGGTAATCAAGCTTGAACAGACGAGTTGAGCTCAGTTCTTCTAGCCTGAGATGGCTCAACTCAAATTCAACAAAATTGAGCTGGAATAGCTCACCATTGACTCCTGTGAGCTAGTGACTTAGATTTAGAATTCTAAAACCTGAACAGAACAATGAACACAGAAAGTTTGAAATCAGAACAATTTCTCATTTAAAGGATTAAACCGTTTCATCAATTGTTCATGCTCTTCGATAATAAATCACATCAACAAACTCAAATATGCAATAGCAAGCACTAAAAACAATGAGCTTAGTTCAAGCTTGAGATGCCTCCACTCAAATTCAACAAAATTGAGCTGAAATAGCTCAATGTTGACTCCAATCAACTAGTAACTTAGATTTAAAATCCTCAAAGCTGACCAGAACAATACACACACAAAAGTTCAAAATTACAACAATTTATCATTTCAAGGATGAAACTGTATTCTAATATTGACTTGTTCATGCTCTTCAATAACACTAACGAAGCTACTTTCACGAACATCTCCGTATTTGCAGAGCACAAAACGAATGTATAAAAAGCTAGGGTTTCTGAGGAGAGAAGTGATTACCGGAAGAAGGATCGAGGTTGAAGACGGCGAGTGTGTCGGAGGACTCGTCGATGGGAGAGCGGAAGGGGCGGAGGTGCTTGCGGCGGTAACGAGAGAAGGAGACGGCGTTGGCGGCGAAAGTGACGGTGACTAAGATTCCGGCGAGCTTGGTGGCCGCAACTAAGAGGCCTACAATTGCCATTGTAGAGAGAGAGAGAGAGAGAGAGAGAAGATTGAGAGTAGCCAAAGAAGAGTGTTTGTTTGTTGTAGCTGAGCCTGAGAGTGGCAAATACTATTCACAATTACAGATGAGGAGAGAGAGGGAGAGGGGCATCGCGGGATTGATTGAACTTGAAGATATTTACGTATCCACGTGTCATGCACGCAAAAGATCACGTGCACGTAATTTTCCTTTGTTGGAGATTGTAAATGATTGGAAAAATATGGAAAATTTTTTGATTTTCAAACAAAATAAATTCTAAATTTTTAATTTTATCAATTTAAATTTTAATATTTTAATTTAATTTCAATCTAAACATACATTTTTTGTTAAGTAAAATTGATAGAAAAATAATATTTTCATCATTAAACTCAATATATGTATATATAAAATGTCTAAAACATTATTTTTTTATTAAATTTAATGACTAATTTTTTTCCTTCAAATTTACTTAGTAAAAAAAATTAAATGATTTAGATTGAAAACAAACAAAAAGATTAGAATTTAAATTGAAAAAATTAAAAAAATTATAATTTATTTTATTATAAGAATAAAATTTTAATTTTTTTTAATAATTTCCCTAAACAATTTTGAATAATAGAAATCGACCAAAACCACTTGGTGATGAGTTTTATGTATAGTATTTGATTCTGTAAACAGTTTAATTAGAATAATTGAGTTCAATTTTGTATTCAATTTTTGGGTAAATAAAAAAATTATAAAAATTTAATAGTGATTTATTATTGAAGGTTTGGTTTAATCCTTACTTTGCAACAAAAAAAAAAAAGTTTGGTTTAATGAAAAAACACAAACAAAATTGTTGAAGATAGCTATCGCGATCTAGACCCTTTCAGGCCATTCAACGTCGGCACTAAAGTACACTTTTCAGGCCATTTGATAGTATAATCTTTTATTTTTTATTTTAAGAATTTGTATGAAATTATTTACAATAATTTAAATAAGTCAATTTTTTTATTATTTAGAAATTAAGAAGGTTTAAAAATTGACTTTTTTTTAGTAATTCTATCCCTGTTTACAAAAAGACATGTAAAAAAATTAAAATAATAATTTGATAACTTATAAAGACAATTTGACTAAAAACTTTAGTTTCCAAATAAGGCCTTAAAAAAATGATATTTTGTTTGTGTTAGGCTATGGCGAGGTGTTGGGTTTGGGAGAATGGTTATGTGGTGTTTCAAGGGTATTGTGATAAGTTGAGAAGATAGAACTTACAATTTTGTATTGAGTAATTGAGAAATATAAAAGAACATGGTGTATGATAATTAGTAAAGGAGTATAAACACGTATGGTGATGCACGTCAAAATTTTGTATTATAATTATTTTTGTAACAAATTATGAAATTAATAAATAAATAAATAAACTTCGAATGAAAGCCACCCTACAAGTCAAGAAGCCTGACCTGAAACTCATAAGCCCATATTTTCAGTCTATGAACAAGGCCTGGGCTTTGAGAATTTGGGATGGGTCTGTAGACTAGTCAAAAGTCATGAGCTCAGGTTTGGGCCCTAAATTTTTGGGGCCGGCCCATTTTTGAGGCCTAGCCTTAGGCATAGAGAAAAAGAAATGAATTTTTGATTATCAATAATAAGTTGGGGGGTTCAAACTTTAGGTTATGAAGTTAAATTTTTTTTTAGCTATTCATTGAAAAATGCAAGGCTTGAATGAAAAAAAGGGGTGAGAAGCGTTTAAGTTAATAGTATCTAAACCTTTTAATTTTAAGTAAATAATTACTGATTTTTTTAAAAAAAAAATTCACTAATGAAGTTAAGACGCAAATCAGAGAGGAGTGGTTAGGCATAGAGAAAAAGAAATGAAATTTTGATTATCAATAATAAGTTGGGGGGTTCAAACTTTAGGTTATGAAGTTAAATTTTTTTTTAGCTATTCATTGAAAAATGCAAGGCTTGAATGAAAAAAAGGGGTGAGGAGAGTTTAAGTTAATAGTATCTAAACCTTTTAATTTTAAGTAAATAATTACTGATTTTTTTTTTAAAAAAAAATTCACTAATAAAGTTAAAACACAAATCAGAGAGGAGTGGTGTGTGGTGTGGTGTGGTGTGGTGTGGGTATGAGAGCAGAAGAATCAAACAAAAGATAAGTGTGGTGGTCCTCTCTCTCTCTCTCTCTCTGTGAGATGTCCTTTCCTTCATTTTGGTGAAATTCTAGCTATTAGGCCATGCATGGTTTTGAGGTAATCATTAATGTTTCAGAGAATTACTGAAATATGATAGCAACTTCTCACCTACGGATTCTCTCATTATCATACCACAATTTTTTTTTAGGGACCATGGTTACCACTGAGATAGTTTAAAACAAAAAAAATTGTACCACACATGTCAATTTTTTACATCTAAATCTGATACACAAAAAAAGATTTACACTAAACACAAAACAAACTTACACATTATAAAAATGGGATTTTTTTTTTCTTCTCTTTTAGTTCAAATTTTCAAAATAAAAAATGTCATACCGAGGGACTTAATTCAATATGATTGTTCATGTAAACTATGAGAGAGATTTCATAATCTGGCTTTGGGCCGTGATAATGACCGGGCTAAAATTGGTCCGAGCAAGTTTGGGCCGAGTTAGGCTGGGACAATCCAGGTGCAGTGCGCTCGATTAAAGCCCAGGTCCGATTTGGCAGGGATAACTTCTCTGCTAGTCCGGTTCGCGTTGTTTGCTCATTGAGATCAGTCTCCCTCGGATCGGCCTAACCTGTCTGGAGCTCGGTCGTACTGGAATGATACTGAGCTCGGTTGTGATGGAGCTTGACGAGTGGCATTGTCGAGCTCGTTAAGTAGCTCGGTCGAAAGAGGCCGAGATAATTCCGCCGGGCTGCCCATTCCCGCCAATGCCGAATGGCGGTTTGATTTGGTAGTGTTTAGCTGAATTTGCGCTGACAGATAGGAGAGCAGCTTCACGTGTCAATAAGCGAATGGATGCAGAGGTGAGCGCAGAAAGTATATAAGTATTACTGCGCCCCCCATGCTGTGGATGGAACATCATTTGGTGAGATCTTACATTCATTAAGCTGCTCTCTCTCTCTCTCTCTGAGTGTGTGCTAACTTGACCATCGGAAGGGTTTCCGGCAACACACCGCCTGGTAGCTCACCGCCGTTGTGTTTTCAGGTTGATCGGATAGACACGAAGCTTGGACGAAAGGAGTACGGACAGCGACGCATATTTCCTCCCCGTACATAAACTAGGTGTTTTTTTTTTTTTTTTACCCCCACTGGGTGAGTGAGGAATGAAGAACATCCGCAGTTTAGGTACATGAAAGTGGCTTTGGCCACTCCCATCCCCTTGTAACTTACAATGAATGAGAAGTCATGGTCATGGTCAACCTACCTCAATACACTGTGTGTGTGAGTGTGAGTGTGAGTGTGGATGTTGGGGACATTTTTTTAGTTTCAGAATCATTATTAGGTGACTGTTCATTTACTCAACATTGGTGGAGTCTCAAATGAAAGTGATCTATAAACAAAATTGATATATATATATATATATATATAATTCATTTAGAATAATATGATAATGAGATATAATTATAAGTTAGAATACTGAGTGTTTCCAGTATTTTTGTATTTGTGATTTATGTTATCTTAATTTCAAGTTTATGCAAGTGGTGGGGTAGCAACTATCTCTATATCTTGCATGTAACATTTTATGATGGTATTGAAACTGAAGTAATTGTTATTGGAATCCTACTTTTTATACATGTAATTTACAATATATATATTTTTTTTTCGTGTCTACTAAATTACATGATTTATGATAAACATATGCACTTTTTTTTCGTTGAACTAAGAGCTGATCTTAAACAATCTTTTGAACTCATTCCACGAGTACAAACTTGGGATACATACGATCACTAATTAATTTCACATATCAAATAAAGTAGATTATGAAGACTCGAACCTAAGAAATGAATCATATGAGTTTTCAACCAATATTTGAGAATGAGGTTATGTCTTGTGGCTTTACAAAGGGAATTAAAATATCGTTCAAAAAAAACAGAAAAAGAAAAGGGAATTAAAATAAAATTATTCGTTTTACCATTTTACTAGGAAACTGAAGTGTGTGGACCACAACATACACACCATTTTCAATTTGTTGGCTCTTTCTCTGCAAGAATCTTGGCAGGTTCTGTTTCTTTTCTTTCCTTACTTTTCTACACCAAAATGGGTACTGAAAAATAGCTCCAATTTGGACACATGTATGCGTGTTAAAAGGCAAATTAAATAGTGTAAAGATTGTGACTTCTTCACATACATTTTCCAATAACTTTTATTTTTTACCTACCTACATATTTGTTGATTTCCTAATTTAGTTGCTAGTATTAATAATTGAAGTCACCTTATGAAATGAAGTGAACTAAATGATGCACATTCTTGTGTATCCAACCTCACTAGTACATGTCGTTATAGCAATTTTAGTATTTTATTTCTCTAGAATTAGAAATAGTAATTTGGTTCACAGGATGGTAAGAAAAATCAAAAAAATCGATCAAATTAATTGAATTGGACCAAACTAGTTATGTTTGGTCTATTTTTTAACGATAATCGCTTTGTGCAGTTTTTAAATTTGAATTTTTTCGGTTCAGTACCGATTTAAGCACATTTTGCACCAATCTAAAGCGAAACCGACCGCTTAAACATATATTGTATTTATAATATATATATATATATATATAATCTAATAATATAATGATATTAGGATAAATTACAAATGCACCCTCTGAGGTTTGCTTAAAATACAAATTGTCTTCTGTGGTTTGAAAAATTACAGATACCTTCCTGTTAGAATTAATTTTATTTAACAGAATTAATTGAAAAAGTGAAATTTCTAATTGTTTACATATACAATAATAAAATTATCTAAATTATTAATTGAAATAAAATTTTAACATTATTAAAAACTATTAATTAACTTGATGATTTATTAATAAAAAGACTTATTTGTTATGAAATTAGAAACGTTCAGGGGCATAATGTAATTTCTAGAACCACATGGGATAATTTGTAATTTAAGTAAACCTCAGAGGGTGTGTTTGTAATTTACCCATGATATTAATAAGTATAAT